AAATTATAACAACCCTCCCTACCCCATTGCTCCAGAATGCCCAAGATATTGCTATTCTGTGTGATTTCTACTATTATAATTATTCATTGTTTAGCTCTATTAGACCATGAATAATATATTTCTTTAGAAGGAAAAATACAAAATATCCTAGTTAAGGAGCAATAGCTATAGACTGATCATCTGTCTCAGATGATCATTGCAACATTTTATAATTTATGATGACAGGATAAAAAGCAACAATATTGGAATATAGATGTTAAACCCAATTATCAGCATTTTGTACAGATTCTTAAGATTATTCCCCCCATAAACACAGTATAATGTTGGTATAAAAAAATTGGCAATTAATGTAACAGACAAGGCCATGATAGGCTGTCAAAGACTTAGAAACTCAGGCAACCCTGGTGAAAATGACACTGATTTTGTCAACTAGTTTTGGTAAGTTTGAAAGATTCCTCCTTGTCTGCTTGTCCAAGCAAATAACATTCATTAATGGCTCAGATGCTAAGAAGCCTGTAATTCTACACATCTCTCTTCCTTTGCACATCTCCTCTTTGTAGTAATTACTAGTAAAAACATCAGATTTTAAAAGATGCTTAACCTAACTCAAAATTAGAGAAATGTGCATTTAAATAGGGAATGAAAGCTTTGTGTGTGTTGTCTGTCGGGTTGGCAAAGATGATGAAAAAGATTGATAATGCTTAGTACTAGCAAGGATAAGGGAGGAAACTGATGTTCTCATACACTCTTGGAGGGAAAGTAGTACCATCTTTTTTGGAGAGTAGTTTATAATCTCTCTCAAAATGTTTCACATATATATACCAAACCCTTAGAGATAGCCTTTCCACTTACTGAATTTACTCCTGTTACTAATATACTTGCACCAACTGTCATTTTAAAAAGTTGGAAACAACCTAAATGTCCATCAGTAGGGGATTATGCAGTGGAAAACTGTGTTGTCATTAAGAAGAATGAAGTACAGATAAATACATAGATCTGTATAACTTCCCATGGTACACTCTTTACAGAATAAAGCAAAGAGCTGAACAGTGACAGCTCTGGAATTTCAAATAAGAAAGGCTTCAGCATGATCATCTTTCTGAAGTGAGGGCTACGACTTCAACCAAGGTTGCGTTTGAATAGCAAACACAGTTGTCATTTAGTTGTTTAGCTGCACAGCAAATTCATATCTTTATCTTAGAGTGTATATTTATTTGGAGTTATTTAGGGGAATTGAGGAAATGAGAGGATATCAAGCATATCAAGCCACTACCTGACTCTGCTATTTTAAAGAACAGCATACTCTGTTTTTTATTGCTTCTCTCCATTAAGAGATAGTTTGCATATAATGACATGCACGTTCAGTTCTACGTGTGGTGGGTCTTTTTTTCTTTTGAGCCATTGTGTTATATTTATGACCAATCAAGTCTTCCATGAAAGTCTCATTTCTCACAGTTCTGGGATCTAAATTAACCTGGATAGGATGTAAATGATAAAAAACTACAGGCAGGAAAGAATTTTAATTATGGAAACAAAATATATTGTGTAGCCACAAAACACTGAGACTTCTTTTTGAAAATCCACACTTCGAAACAGGTCTCAGTGCATTACACCTTATATACTTATATATACATACTCTACTTCCTGCTTTGTTCAAGACTCATTTCATACCGCTGTCCTCTGACTCCCCGGCTCCAGGCACACAAGCCTCCTTCCTGTTCTTCTCAGATGTCTCAGAGCCTTTGCATTTATTTATGTTCATGCTTTAGGTCATAGGTCAAATGTCACCTCTTCAGAGAGGCGATCTCTGACCATGTTCTCTAATCAGAAACCCATTTATTGCTTTCAAGCACACATCACTCCCTGCACAATTATCTCACTTATTCATGTACTTGTTTATCATCTGCCTCATCCATTAGAAGGCAAGGCCAGTAAGGGATTCAAGGCACTGAGCCTCAGGAGCATTCATAGACTGGTATTCATACTATTGGATATGACTTTGGCATTTTCCCTCCCAATGAAAATCTGAGGTGATAAAGCTGGCATTCTACTTTTAATTCACCTTTAAAACGGGTAAAGAATTCTCAAATAGGACTTTGCCTTGAAAGACATACCGCCTAAATGGAATCAAGCAATGAAAATTTAATTATAGTTCTGAAGGATTACTTGGTTTCATTTTATACATTTACTACACAATATTATTCCTCAAAGATTCAAATTTTGATATAATCTGATTTTATTTTGCCTTGTGTTATTTAATTTTTTTAAAAAAATTGTTGGTTTGAAAAAATATAATGCTCTTTTCAAGGTTTTCTGGCTAACTCATTATGTATTAGTATTTATATTAGCAAACAATCCATTTTCCTTTTAAGTACTTGAATTTTTTTTCCCTATTCTTAGGGTCTCTTTAAATCTAAAAGAGTTTCCATTCCCTCTTTTTTATCCCATGATATATAATTGTTGAAAGAAACCAGGTCATTTGTCCTACTGAATTTCCACATTCTAGATTTGGTCAGTTTCATCTTTCTTGTGTTAACATATTTCTCTGCTCCCTCCCCACCTTCCCCTGCCATATAAATAACTGACAGACCTAGAAGCTTGATTAGATTCAGGTTTTTAACTTGTTGGGGGGCATGGAATAATTCATAGATAGTGCCATTTATTCCTATTGTATCATGCCAGGAGGAACATAATATTTGGTTGTCTCACTTTTAGTGATGTTAAGGTTATCACTGGATACAAATGTTGCCAGCCTGATCTATTCAGTGTAAAACTTCCCATCAGCCTTTTACCTAGGAATTTAGGACTGTTTTAAGCATGGAGGATGTAGGTGACAAGGGGTTAAAAAAACAAAGTCTAGTTCTTTGCATATTTATTACTCTACTGCCTACTATTTACAGAGTTGAAAAATATTCAATTAAGTTTATTTTTAATTTTTATTGTATATTAACTAATTTTATTTTTATTGAAGTATTGTTGGTTTACAATATTGTGTTAGTTTCACACAGCAAAATGATTCAGTTATATATATATATGTATATATATATATTTCAGATTCTTTTCCATTATAGGTTATTACAAGATATTGAATACAGTTCCCTGCATTATATAGTAAATCCTTGTTGTTTATCTATTTTATATATCATAATGTATATCTGTTAATCCCATACTCCTAATCCCCACCTTTCCCCTTTGGTAATGATAACTTTGTTTTCTATGTCTGTGAGTCTGTTTCTGTTTTGTAAATAAATTAATTTGTATCATTTTTTAGGTTCCACATATAAGCGATATCATATAATATTTGTTTCTCTGTCTGACTTCATTTAGTGTATTTTCTAGGTCCATCCATGGTGCTGCAAATGGCAATATTTCCTTTGTTTTTATGGCTGAGTAACAGTCCATATACATATTTATTATATATATATATATCACATCTTTATCCATTTATCTGTTGATGGACACTTAGGTTACTCCCACTTCTTGGCTATTGCAAATAGTGCCACTATGAACATTGGGGTGCATGTATCTTTTCAAATTCGCGTTTTCGTCTTTTCTGAATATATGCCCAGCAGTGGCATTGCTGGATCATATCGTAAGTCTATTTTCAGTTTTTTGAGGAACCTCTATACTGTTTTCCATAGTGGCTGCACCGATCTACGTTCCTACCAACAGTGTAGGAGGGTTCTCTTTCCTCCACACCCTCTCCAGCTTCAAGTAAGTTTAAAAGACAACCACTAACCACGTGTTTTAAACAGTAGTGGCTTAAATATGATCTAAATAGTAAAATAAGCATGGCAAAGCCACTTCCTGTACTGAAAAGAGCAGTAAATTGAGGAGTCAGTTGTCCATTTACTTGACATTTAAAGACCCAATATGTGTTAAGACCCTGGAGATTTCAAGTTGAGTACTAAACACTTGCTGTGTGGAAGGGGTGTGTCTTTTCCAGAGCCATTCTCTCACTTGGCAGGTGGCGCTCACTTGGCTTTATTTTGAATGAGTCTGAACTAAAAACTTTTAAATAGATTTAAATCAAATTCCAGTCATTTCATTTAAAAATAACTGGTTACTTTTGGAGGCTGCTAGGCACCAATGTTATGATAAAAATTTAAAAGGGAAAAATAAAGCATTTAATCTGCTTTTCCTACACAATCCGTATTTCAGGGTAACAGTTGATAAGGGAAAAATACGAATACAAAATACATCAATTAGATGCGTTTGATGATCTAAAAACTTTTGATTAACATTTTTGTTTTGCCTATGTCAGGGGACACTTGGGGAAGGGGTGTCAGAGGGATTAAGGAGAAAGGAAGCACTTGGTGGACTCGAACACACTCTTCGGAGCTAAGGTCACATTTCTGGCTTCAGAAAGTCGGGCAGAGCGACAGTTCTTTCCGGGTCTGGGTCTCACAAGCTCGGGTGCGAGGCAGGGGACGTGACCCAGCTCTCCCGCCCTGCCAGGACTCGGCCTGTGGTCTTTCCACCGCGACGCTTCCTTCCTCATGCCGACGGCCGCAGCTCCAGTCGCCTCACAGCCCAGCCAGGAAAGA